TGATATATGAAATATGTAATATGCACATTTATCTAGACAGGAGAACCAGTCTAAATCTGAATGTCATGTGGATATTTCTGTTTTGTTTCTTCTTTCAATGTAACCCGAATAATGTCAGTCGTTATATTCCGCCGATCTCCGTCTAATCTCCGATTGCTACATTAACAATAGCTCGATAGGCTATAGGCCGCTAGAGGGCGAATAATTATTTGTATGGCAAGCCAAAGTGGACAAAAAGAGCTATTTTCTAATATTAAAAATCATTTTCATATATTAGAAAATCATTTTCTAATATTAAAAAATCATTTTCTAATATAAGAAAATCATTTTTTAATATTAAAAAAGAAAAGCACGATTTCTTAATATTAAAAAATGAATTTCTAATATTAGAAAATGAATTTCTAATATAAGAAAATGAATTTCTTATATTAAGAAATGAATTTTTAATATTAGAAAATCAATTTTTAATATTAGAAAATCAATTTCTAATATTAGAAAATCCTTTTCTAATATTAGAAAATCAATTTCTAATATTAGAAAATCCTTTTCTTATATTAGAAAATCATTTTTTAATATTAGAAATTCGAAAGTATTTTCTTATATTAGAAATTCATTTTCTAATATTAATAAATGATTTTTTAATATTAGAAATTGATTTTCTAATATTAAGAAATCATTTTCTAATATTAAAAATTAAAATCATCATCACCAAAGAGTTTTGACTTGTTTATTTTTTTAAATTCAATAACCCCTCCCTGATTACAAACGGAATTTTAAAAAAATGTCTGAAAGAAAGAATAAACTAAATCAGATTTTGCTAAGGATTGACGGGGCCGCTCTATCTAATAATTTTGAAGAAGTTGAAATCCTGATTAGAGATGCCTCAACTAAACTTGAAAATGGGAGAGCAGAATTAGACGAGGAAACTGTTGAGCAGCTTCAATCGTCACTGGCATCCATGTCAAGACTTGCCAGAGACATGAGGAATTTTCCAGTAAATTCTGGCTACAAAGCTGATAGACCTAAGACAGGTATGGAATATACAGTCTTATGAAATATAGACCGAATTTGCCTTCCTTAATAAATTTTGCTTTCTTACAATGTCAAATTATTATTTGATGTAGAGCCAATTTCCCCTGAATATTTTCAGTTTCACACTGAGCAGCGTAAATTTTAAAAAGTGCTGAAAGAATAAAATTTACGATTAAAACCAAGAATAAAAATGTTTTTGATCAAAAGCTCGATTTTTATATTTTATGATATATCGGATAAATATTTAGGTTAACCCTAAAAAAGATGAAAGTCTATATTATTATGCGGAATTTGCCGTGTTTTTATGTATAGGAAAACAGAGAATCCCATGAAAATTAAATTACAAACCAAACATGACAAAGTTCTGTTTTTTGTTGTTGTAATTTATATTACTTTTTTCCTCAAAAACGAAATTGGTTTGTTTTGTCATTAACACAACTTTTTATAAAAAAAAAAAGGTGGAACGTCACTAAATTGTACATATAGCTTCTTAATAACCACATTCTCACGGAAGTCGCCGTAGCGTCGTCGATAGCGCTTAGAATTGATAATAATATATTAGAATGAAGACGGAGTTTAAATCTCACTCTGATATTTTGATTTTTTTTGCATTGTTATGTTTCTATCATATTTTTTCGGATGTTTCTTTACACCATAGAGTCATTGTGGATCATTTTGACTATATTGACTTATTTCCTATTCCTGTCTTTACATTTATATATATATATACAAGTCTAAATTGAAAACAACGTTCAAACCTATGATTGCGTTGGATAAAAACCGCAATTTTTATACGTGTGCATGCAAAACAAATTTCTTGTTAGAGGGGTCTAAATACAGCACAAACAACATTTTCCAAAAGATCAAAAAATGAAAAAGTATATTTTAACAAAACGCATTTGACTAACAGGTCGAACAACAAATGTTCTTAAACCCTGCTGACTGCCATTGGCGATTGCCAAATAAACGGATCACCCGGTGTAATAAATGGATCTTATTTATAAATATATATATATGTGCTGGATCCCGAACTATGGGATGCTGAGCCCAAATAGCTACGATATTGTGGGATATACCAAATATATACAGAATATAAAGCCAAAACAAACAGATACTCTGCTGCATTTAAATACGCTTGAGAAATATGCCAGTAAAGACATTTAAACAGACACCGGTCTTGAATCAGATTAGCTGATTTGTATCAAATAATAAGATTATTAAATGTGGTCTGCAATTAAATTTAACCCCCCCCCCCCTTTTTTTTTATTATTTTGTTAGTTTTAAGTTAAACAAAGCTATGATATACTTTTACACCACAAATCACCTACATTAACATGCTAACTGAAGAGGGGGGGGGGGGGGGTGTTAAACTAAAAAAAATCCAAAAAACAATAGTCTTGGTCTTGTCTATCGTAGGAATATACCTGTTCAAGGTGTGAAAATAGATGATGTGACATATTTTCATGTACTACAATTAGCATCAATCGAGCTATTAAAAAACAAGTATGCACACGCTGAAATGTCTCGCCTTTTTTACTAATCATTGATATTATGTTGATAGTCGTAAATATAAAGCTTACTACAACTATCACATAAACTTAACATGATCGAAAAAAATGAGGTCAAGGTATTATAAACCAAACAAAAAATACATGTACACCTTACAATCATCCAATGCACTAAAAATAGTTGACCTATAGTTTCTAAGAAACAGACTTAACCAAGAAAACTAAACATTGACCAATGAACCATGAAAATGAGGTCAAGATCAGATGAACCATTCCAGGCAGACATGTACAGCTTTGAATTCTTACATACAACAAATTTAGTTGACCTATTGCTTATAGTATAAGAAAAACAGACCAAAACACAAAAACTGAACACTGGGCAATGAACCGTAAAAATGAGGTCAAGGTCAAATAAAACCTGGGAGACTGACATGTACATCATAAAATATTGCATATAGTATAAGAAAAAAAAAACCAAAACTCAAAAAAACTTTGACCACTAAACCAAGAAAATGAGGTCAAGGTCAGATGACATCTGCCAGGTAGACATGAACACCTTACAATCATTCCATACACCAAAATAGTAGACCTATTGCATACAGTATAAGAAAAACAGATCAAAACACAAAAACTTAACAACAACCACTGAACAATGATAATGAGGTAAAGGTCAGATGGCACCTGCCAGTTGGACAATCCTTCCATACACCGAATATACTAGACCTAGTATCTGAGATATGGACTTGACCACCAAAACTTAACCTTGTTCACTGATCCATGAAATGAGGTCGAGGTCAACTGAAAACTGTCTGACGGGCATGAGGACCTTGCAAGGTACGCACATACCAAATATAGTTATCATATTACTCATAATAAGAGAGAAATTAACATTACAAAAAATCTGACCTTTTTTTCAAGTAGTCACTGAACCATGAAAATGAGGTCAAGGACAATGGACATGTCACAGACGGAAACCTGAGGCATCTATATACAAAGTATGAAGCATCTAGGTCTTCCACCTTCTAAAATATAAAGCTTTTTAAAAGAACTTAGCTAACGCCACTGTAGCCGCAGCCGCCAGATCACTATCCCTATGTCGAGCTTTCTGCGACAAAAGTCGAAGGCTCGACAAAAAAAATGATTTACCTACATGTGAAAGAAATCAGGGGAAAATGGCCTTAACTCTTTCTGTCGAATTTCAATCTACTTCCACTGAAGAAAATATTTTTATTTGTTTTAAATCAAATTGAGACAAATAATGCAATTTTGAAACTATGGAAAGCCAATAACAAAAATAAAGTGTAACAAGTGTAACAAATGAAATGCAATAAATGCGCAAAAAGTACGTCATATTAGAATCTGATAATATCCCATTCTCACTCGTTATGAAACTTAAAAATCTCCATATTATAGATGGAATCTGTTGTTTAATTATTACAATCTGTTATTATATTTTGATATTTTGCTGTGATATAAAATAAATTATATTTAAATAAATTGAAAATATCAAGTTTGATTACGATCGTAACATATGAGGGTTATAACGAAAGCAAACCAAACTAGAATTTCGTGTGTGTTTATAATGGAAAATATGTACTAGCTCAACTGGCTCAAAGCTTTTCTCATCACTTTGCGTCAACGTCTGTAAACTTTTATATGAATATTCTCCTCTGAAACCACTTGAATTGGCGGATTTGAACCAAACTTGATCACAATAATGCTTAAGGGTGTCTAGTTTCAACTTTATATCATATGATGCCGCCGTTTTTACTATAATTAGACCATAGGGGGTTAAACAGACAAAATTGCAATCTTTTATGGCTTTACATGCAAATGTTAAGTTGATTTTTAGTAAATAGATGTGTTATGGAAGTTACAGCTAAACTATGATTTATGGTGTAGTTGACATACTTTTGACCATATCAAGGCCCTTGGAATAAGAAAATATCATGAAAATCGGTAAACTTTTAAAAGAAATACCACTGAGCTAGATGGAATCAAACTCATCCTTAGGATGTATAATATATAAATGATATACGCCATGATCCCGCCAACCTTTCTGATTTTATACAGTTATATATATATATATATATATATAATAATAGGTTTGAACGTTGTTTTCAATTTAGACTTGTTCATATTTTTTCGTTGGGCTTGTATTATATTTGCCTTTGGGTTTATATGATCCGTTCATCCTATTTCGATTCTTCAAAATTCAAGAGTCTATCCTAAATTTTTATTTCAGTTTGACTACCGCATGTCAAGATAAGATTCATTTTACATCTTACTGATGAAGGATATTAGTTATCCGAAATATCTAAAATTTGTTCATGATTTAATTATTTTTTGGTGATGTTGTACCCTTTCAGACTTTATATATATATATATATATATATATGTATGGCCAACAAACTGTAATTTTTCAATGAAAAATATATACTACAGATAGAAGATGAAGACCCAAAATAGATATGGCTACCAACGAATTGAAAGCTTTTTGTGGGGCCAATTTCAAGGGGACTAAAATGGCTGAACATTTTAAATGCTCCACTAAATCTGTATACAGACGATTAAAAGACGAGGGGCTAAGTAACAGATACAGTGACATAACCAAAGAAGATCTAGATGCCCAAATCCTGGATTTGAAATCTTCTTTTCCAAAAGCAGGACTGCAGGTATAATTATCTTCATATAAATCAAAATGACGCGTAAATCAGAAGAATTTGTGAACATTTTATTTGAAAGATATCTAATAAGACTTTAAAGACACATACATGGATGATGATATTTCTCATATACATGTATTAACGGCATGTGTTTCCCGCAAAAAAAAAGTTTATACTAGAACACACATACTAGAATTTTATAATTTTTAATCAACACCATTGTCGGCCTGTATTAGTTATATTAAAATAAATCAAAGTACTGAAGTACTGAACACCGGATGACTGCAAGTTCTTGTGGATGGTCACAAGCACTTGTCTCATAAAAAAATCACATCTCTATACCTGAAAGTGAGGTTAATGTACAGATATAATTTATTTTTCTTAGACAAGTTCGTGCGTGGATGATAAATACATGACAGGGAATTCAACCTCTGTCACCGTAATAAATATGTTATTGAAGTGATACAAATCACTGAGTATACTTAGGTTTGTTGTTATATATTATATTAATATTTGTATATTACAGTTACATGTATATATAATTTTCATCCATTTGTATATCATTCTATTCTACTATATTAATAATAGTGCAGTGCAAGTGCATGGTGGACACTCTTCTGTGATAATTTGATTTTTCTAATAGATTGGATTTGAGTAGGCATTCATATTTTCCCGCCAAACTTTCAATCTCCCATGCAGAGTTATCGGTCCTTGAGAGAGTCCGAATTTGGATATTTTCTCAAAAATTGGCGTTTTCAAGATTGTTTCAAAGACAAATTTAGGAAGTTCAAAACACTACATGTATACGTCATATCACCAATATTCCTTCTTTGTATGGTTTCAGAAGAGTTGCGACTCAATGAAATCGGTCTCTTCATTCAAAGAGTCATTGACTGAGCTGTTTCATTCTTTGTTTCAAATAGCATTTCTGTCAATTGAATAACTACAAGAGCTTTCTGCGAACTTGATGTTCGGTCAACTTGAACTTATATTTGCAGTCTTTTCGATTAAAAAATGCTTGTTCAGATTATTTTCCAATGAGAATTTTTTAGGCAGCGAATTTTAAAAGTATCAGTCTTTGCTCCATATCAATCGATATAGCTAATATACGTCATATTTTAGTTAAAGTTGTTCAAAAATAAAATTATTAATTATCTTGCACTTTCTGTGAAGCATTTTTTTTAAATTTTAGATGATGCAAGGTTACTTAGTGTCCAGAGGGATATGTGTACAACGCGAAAGAGTAAGAGAATCTTTAAGACGTCTTGATCCAGAAGGGTGTGTTGAAAGATGGTCTACGGCAGTACACAGAAGAAGGTACAGCGTACCAACACCAAATCATCTATGGCACATGGACGGACACATGAAACTCATCAGGTATTTTTTTTAAACACATGCAAGTCTTGTAGAAATAACAATATTGTTATCAAGACTTTGCTGACTAACAAGATACTGATAGATATAGAAAGATGTGGTATGAGTGCCAATGAGACAACTCTCCATCCAAGTTACAATTTATAAAAGTAAACCATTATAGGTCAAGGTACGGCCTTCAACACGTCCGCATTGGCTCACACCGAACAGCAAGCTACCTATTTCTGAAATTCATTTACGCCATACCACATAGTCGGCTGTAAAAGGCCCCAAAATGACAAATGTAGTACAATTCAAACGAGAAAACCAACGGCCTAATTAATGTACACAAAATGAATGAAAAACAAATATGTAACACATCAACAAACGACAACCACTGAATTACAGGCTCCTGACTTGGGACAGGCACATACATACAGAATTTGGCGGGGTTAAACATGTTAGCGGGATCCCAACCCTCCCCTAACCTGGGAAAGTGGTGCAGTATATCTTTAATTATTACCAAAGTCTATATAAACCAGAGGGTACAAATTTGAATGACATCAACATGCTTCAACATCATTAATACATATATACAAACACAATTGGGCAGAACTATGCAACAGGGAGACCTCCTTAGTTTTAATGCAGATTTCATAAAGTTATGTGACAGTCCATTTCAAATAAGTTGAAAAACAAATTGTCCGTATATCATGCCATCACTAAAGAACTTGTCTACTAGGGTGATGATACCCTCGGGAATTAAGATTCCGCCCGCAGAGGCATCGACCAAGTGGTGATAATAAAACTGGGATGGTACCAATTTTACAGCACCGGATGTGCATTCCAAACATTAAATAATTGTCAATGATGCTTTATATCCATAAAACATTCCGGAAAGCAAAACTCAAAATGGAAATGCTTGAGGATTTTTAACTGAAAAATTGTGAAAAAGTCATATTTTGACGAAATTTCATACGATACATGTTAATTAACAGCTCTTCGTACGGTTTTCAACCTATACATTTAATATTTTCTTTATCATAGAAGTTTTTACAGAAATATATCAACTTTAACGTCACCAACTCTCATGGATTCAATTCATAACTGATGCTATGTAAACGTGACATACGCGCAAGCGCATACGACGTAGGACAGATTTTAAATGTTTAAATTTGTGTTGTTTTCTGTCAGTTTTATTATAATGGAGACAATAATATTGTATTTTAACCTTCAACGACATCAATTGACGATTTGATGGTTGCAAATACCAATTTACTGGCTCCTATGACGCGTCGCCAGTTAGCTTAATTTGCGACCATCAAATCACAAATTGATGCCATCTAAGCTTAAAATACAATACAGTTATCTCGCGATTGCATATATGTATATTTTCATTCAAGACAGTTTTCTTTTTTAAAGACAAATTCTGTGCAGCTCGGCCATTTCTTAATTAATTTATATTAATTTGTGTGTTGTATCTTTTTTTAGATGGGGATTTGCTACACATGGTTGCATTGATGGTTTCAGTCGATTCATCACCTTCCTGAGATGTGGTATTAACAACACTGCATCTACTGTGCTACAGCTTTTTGTGTTCGCGTGCTGTTCGTATGGTGTACCAAGCAGAGTCAGGTCAGATCATGGTGGAGAAAACACCAAAGTTGCTTTGTTTATGAATTTGATCAGGCAAAGAACTAGCCACATCACAGGCAAGTCGGTGCACAATCAGAGGATTGAGAGGCTATGGAGGGACATGCATACCCAGGTAACCTCCAAATTTTATAATGAGTTCTATCAGATGGAAGAGGACCCAGTGATAAATTTGGACCCAGACAACATGATCCACCGTTCGGCCCTACAATATGTTTATTTGCCAGCAATAAACAGAAGTCTGGAAGAGTTCAGAAATGGCTGGAATGGCCACAAGATTAGGTCTGAGGGACACATGTCCCCATCACAAATATGGATGTCGGAAATGTTGGATAACATGAGCTCGGGATATACACCAACATCCTAATTATTTGGGGTAAATCCAAGCATTGGAGATAGACTGGATAGTGGTCTACAAAGATTTGGTCTTACTTTAGATGATGTTGGAGTTGAAAACTCACTAGCTGTTCCAGAAGTTCCAATTGAAATAATGGATATCATCGATCAGGAACTCAGTAATAAACAAAAATTTAGCTATGTAGAGAGGTGCTGGTGAGACAAAACTGAAATGCTAAAGGCCAAAGAAATTAAAAGAAAGCAAAATGATTCAGTTTTTCTAATTATTTTGTTTGATTGGCAATTTTCTGATAACTACCCATGATTATATAGGGAATCACTGGAGCATGACTGGATGGGCCCCCCCCCTTATGAAAAGGTCTTGAATTAGGGGCCAAAAAGGGGCAAAAATCAAGCATTTTTCTAGTTTCAGGACAATAACTTGTGTGTAAGTGTATGGATCTTTATGAAATTGTACTACAAGGTTCCATATCACAAGGGGAATGCTGGTATTGATTTTGGGGGTAATTGCCTCAAAATTTTAGGAATTAGGGGCCAAAAAAGGGGCAAAAACAAGCATTTTTCTAGTTTCATGACAATCACTTGTGTGTAAGTGTATGGATCTTTCTGAAATTGTTCTACAAGGTTCCATATCACAAAGGGAAAGCTGGAATTGAGTTTGGGGGTTATTGCCCAAACCGTTTAGGAATAAGGGGCCAAAAAGGGGCCAAAAATAAGCATTTTTCTAGTTTCCAGACAATAACGTGTGTTCAAGTGTATGGATCTTTATGAAATTGTACTACAAGGTTCCATATCACAAAGGCAATGCTGGGATTGGTTTTGGGGGTAATTGCCTCAAAATTGTAGGAATTAGGGGCCAAAAAAGGGGCAAAAAACAAGCATTTTTCTAGTTTCATGACAATAACTTGTGTGTAAGTGTGTGGATCTTTCTGAAATTGTACTACAAGGTTCCATATCACAAAGGGAAAGCTGGGTTTGAGTTTGGGGGTAATTGCCTAAAACGGTTAGGAATAAGGGGCCAAAAAGGGCCAACAATAAGCATTTTTCTAGTTTCCAGACAATAACTTGTGTTCAAGTGTATGGATCTCTCTGAAATTGTACTGCAAGGTACCATACCACAAAGGAAAGGCTGGGATTGATTTTGGGGGTAATTGCCTCAAAATGTTAGGAATTAGGGGCCAAAAAGGGGCAAAAAACAAGCATTTTTCTAGTTTCAGGACAATAACTTGTGTGTAAGTGTATGGATCTTTATGAAATTGTACTGCAAGGTACCATACCACAAAGGAAAGGCTGGGATTGATTTTGGGGGTAATTGCCCTAAACGTTAAGGAATTTGGGGCCAAAAAGGAAAAAAAAACAAGCATTTTTCTAAGTTTCCAGACAATAACTTGTGTTCAAGTGTATGGATCTCTCTGAAATTGTACTGCAAGGTACCATACCATAGAGGGAAGGCTTAGATTGAGTTTGGGGGTGATGAATCATAAGGGGGTTCAAAAAAGGGATTTTTTTTTCTTTCAAATTTTCCATTTTAAATTGGTTATTTCTGATTTATATGTAAAAGCAAATAATAATGATATGGTTTGAATAGGTCAATTAATAATATATAAGTTCTTAGACCACATTCATTCTGTGTCAGAAACCTATGCTGTGTCAAATATTTAATCACAATCCAAATTCAGTGTGGGACAGAATCTTGTTTATGATCAAAAGCTAGTATCTAGAAGGAAATTTGTTAAAATATATTTCCTGTTTTTCCGTATATTACTTATAAATGGACTTAGTTTATTCCAGTTAACATTACGTACAGTCTGCAGTTAAAGTTTTTAAAACATTTATTAGATTCATAAACCTTCTTGGTTTTTACCAAACTTGAACAGAACTTATACAATCAAAAGATAGTATCTAGAGGAAAATTTTTAATATTTTTTTCCCCATTTTTGTTGAGCCTGCGACTAACAGCAAAAGTAGGCGAGACACTTGATTCCGTGGAATACTTACGAATTTTTAATTTTTGGTCCCGTTTTCAAATTGGTCTACATTACGGTCCAAAGGGTCCCAATATTAAACTTGGTTTCATTTCAACAAAAATTTAATATGAGGTTCATTGATATGCTGAATCAAACCATGTATTTATATTTTGTATATTGGACCATAAAAGGTAAACGTCCAATTTAAAATTTTTATGTTCTTGGACCACATTCATTCTGTGTCAGAAACCTTTGCTGTGTCAAATATTTAATCACAATCTAAATTCAGAGCTGTATCAAGCTTGAATGTTGTGTCCATACTTGCCCCATCTGTTCAAAATTCGACCTCTGAGGTTGTATCAAGCTTCGCCTTGCGGAGCATTTTATTTTTAATGTAAATTGTTTTTATATTGCGGTCGTATATTAGTATGACGTTGGCGTCGTCGTCCGAAGACACATTGGTTTTCGCACTCTAACTTTAGTTTAAGTATAAATGGATCGCTATGAAATTTTACCATAAGGTTCAATACCACAAAAGGAAGGTTGGGATTGATTTTGGGGGTTATGGTACTGGGTATTGGGGGTTAACAGTTAAGGAATTAGGGGCCAAAAAGGGGCCAAAAATAAGCATTTTGAACTTCCAGACATAACTTGTGTGTTAGTCTATGGATCTCTCTGACATTGTACCACAAGGTTCCATATCACAAAGGGAATGCTGGGATTGATTTTGGGGGCAAATGCCTCATAATTTTAGGAATTAGGGGCCAAAAAAGGGGCAAAAACAAGCATTTTTCTAGTTTCATGACAATAACTTGTGTGTAAGTGTATGAATCTTTCTGAAATTGTACTACAAGGTTCCATATCACAAAGGAAAAGCTGGAATTGAGTTTGGGGGTAATTGCCCAAAACGTTTAAGGAATAAGGGGCCAAAAATAAGCATTTTTCTAGTTTCCAGACAATAACTTGTGTTCAAGTGTACGGATCTCTCTGAAATTGTACTGCAAGGTATCATACCACAAAGGGAAGGCTGGGATTGATTTTGGGGGTAATTGCCTCAAAATGTTAGATATTAGGGGCCAAAAAAGGAGGCAAAAAACAAGCATTTTTCTAGTTTCAGGACAATAACTTGTGTGTAAGTGTATGGATCTTTATGCAATTGTACTACAAGGTTCCATGTCACAAAGGGAAAGCTGGGTTTGAGTTTGGGGGTAATTGTCCTAAACGTTTATGAATTTTTGGCCAAAAAGGGGCCAAAAAACAAGCATTTTTCTAGTTTCCAGACAATAACTTGTGTTCAAGTGTATGGATCTCTCTGAAATTGTACTGCAAGGTACCATACCACAAAGGGGAGGCTGGGATTGATTTTGGGGTGATGAATCATAAGGGGATTAAAAAAATTGACCATTTTAAATTGGTTATTTCTAATTTATATATAAAAGCAAATAATAATGATATGGTTTGAATAGGTAAATTAAAAAAAAATGTAAGTTCTTAGACCACATTCATTCTGTGTCAGAAACCTATGCTGTGTCAAATATTTAATCACAATCTAAATTCAGAGCTGTATCAAGCTTGAATGTTGTGTCCATACTTGCCCCATCTGTTCAAAGTTCGACCTCTGAGGTTGTATCAAGCTTCGCCTTGCGGAGCATTTTATTTTTAATGTAAATTGTTTTTATATTGCGGTCGTATATTAGTATGACGTTGGCGTCGTCGTCCGAAGACACATTGGTTTTCGCACTCTAACCTTAGTTTAAGTATAAATGGATCTCTATGAAATTTTACCATAAGGTTCAATACCACAAAAGGAAGGTTGGGATTGATTTTGGGGGTTATTGTACTGGGTATTGGGGGGGTTAACAGTTAAGGAATTAGGGGCCAAAAAGGGGCCAAAAATAAGCATTTTTGAACTTCCAGACATAACTTGTGTGTTAGTCTATGGATCTCTCTGACATTGTACCACAAGGTTCCATATCACAAAGGGAATGCTGGGATTGATTTTGGGGGCAAATGCCTCATAATTTTAGGAATTAGGGGCCAAAAAAGGGGCAAAAACAAGCATTTTTCTAGTTTCATGACAATAACTTGTGTGTAAGTGTATGAATCTTTCTGAAATTGTACTACAAGGTTCCATATCACAAAGGAAAAGCTGGAATTGAGTTTGGGGGTAATTGCCCAAAACGTTTAAGGAATAAGGGGCCAAAAATAAGCATTTTTCTAGTTTCCAGACAATAACTTGTGTTCAAGTGTACGGATCTCTCTGAAAATGTACTGCAAGGTACCATACCACAAAGGGAAGGCTGGGATTGATTTTGGGGGTAATTGCCTCAAAATGTTAGATATTAGGGGCCAAAAAAAGGGGCAAAAAACAAGCATTTTCTAGTTTCAGGACAATAACTTGTGTGTAAGTGTATGGATCTTTATGAAATTGTACTACAAGGTTCCATGTCACAAAGGGAAAGCTGGGTTTGAGTTTGGGGGTAATTGTCCTAAACGTTTATGAATTTTTGGCCAAAAAGGGGCCAAAAAACAAGCATTTTTCTAGTTTCCAGACAATAACTTGTGTTCAAGTGTATGGATCTCTCTGAAATTGTACTGCAAGGTACCATACCACAAAGGGAAGGCTGGGATTGATTTTGGGGTGATGAATCATAAGGGGGTTAAAAAAATTGACCATTTTAAATTGGTTATTTCTGATTTATATATAAAAGCAAATAATAATGATATGGTTTGAATAGGTAAATTAAAAAAAATGTAAGTTCTTAGACCACATTCATTCTGTGTCAGAAACCTATGCTGTGTCAAATATTTAATCACAATCCAAATTCAGTGCTGTATCAAGCTTGAATGTTGTGTCCATACTTGCCCCAACTGTTCAGGGTTCGACCTCTGCGGTCGTATCAAGCTGCGCCCAGCGGAGCATTTTATTTTTTAAATGCCTCTGTTCTCTTTTCAATAAAATATTGAAATGAAATTCAAATAAAGGTATGCAAGAGATTGGACGAGTTGCCTACAGAAGGAACAGATATACTGTTCCCAGCCTACAGGGAGTTTTAAAATGTACATTAAATTTTATGTTATCGTACTAATAGCAAGGATTCTTTTTTTTTTGCGTAAATACATTTATTTCAAAACTGATCATTTGACGATATATATGCCTGCAACAGGTGCCTCCGTCAGCCTTCCATTTTGTGATTGTATTCTAAAAATTTTACACTATAGTAATAAATGTTTTAAGGTATGATCAGGGGCGTAGCCATGTATCCAATAAACTGTAGGCACAAATTGCGGCCGGGGGTCAGGGGGCCGGGCCGCTTAAGGCCCCCGGCAGGTCCAGGGCAGAGCCCTGGTAGGGGGTTCAAGGGGGGGCAAAGCATTTTAGTTGCATAATTTTGTGTACAAAAAACATGAAAACTGGTCATTTTTGTCGAGCCTTCGACTTTTGTCGAAAAAGCGAGACATAGCGATCCTACATTCCGTCGGCGTCGTCGCAGTCGGCGGCGGCGTCCACAAATATCCATTCTGTGGTTAAAGTTTTTGAAATTTTAATCACTTTCTTAAACTATCTTGAATTTCTACCAAACTTGGACAGAAGCTTGTTTATGATCATAAGATAGTATCCAAGAGTAAATTTTGTAAACAAAAAATTCCATTTTTTCCCTATTTTACTTATAAATGGACTTAGTTTTTCTGCCAGTTAACTACCAAACTTGGACAGAAGCTTGTTTATGATCATAAGCTAGTATCCAAAAGTAAATTTTGTAAACAAAAAATTCCATTTTTTTCCTATTTTACTTATAAATGGACTTAGTTTTTCTGCCAGTTAACATTACATCCACTCTGTGGTTCAACTTTTTAAAATTTTAACAACTTTCATAAACTATCCTGGATTTGTACCAAACTTGGACAGAAGCTTGTTTATGATTAAAAGCTAGTATCTAGAAGGAAATTTTGTTAAAATTTTGTTCCATTTTTCCGTATTTTACTTATAAATGGTCTTAGTTTTTATTCCAGTTAACATTACATACAGTCTGCAGTTTAAGTTTTTAAAACATTTATTAGATTCATAAACTATCCTGGATTTTTACCAAACTTGGACAGAAGCTACTTAATTACAATCAAAAGATAGTATAGAGAGGAATATTTTTATTAATTTTTTCCTTATTTTTGTTGAGCCTGCGATTAACAGCAAAAGTAGGCGAGACACTGGGTTCCGCGGAACCCTTACGAAGTTTATCATGATAATATACGGCATGAAAAAAAAATACAATTGCATCTGACTGATGAATTAACCGGCAGTTCAATCGGAAATATATATAAAAAAATATTTACAATATGCATTGCCCAGC